AATCATTTCAGTGACTCGATGATGTACCTTGGTGTGTCACAGTATATTCAGCTTAAACTCTTCAACATAAAAATGATCAATACAGAAACAAAAAGCCATGCATTCTAAGATGTTTTTAGAAGGAAAAAAATAAGAACAAGCAAGCAAACAAAAGCAAAGCCAAACATGCGATATCAAATTATTTTATGGATACCTAATATTGGAGCTAAATTATTCTATGAGGGGAGATAAGCGCTTTTTTATTTGAAAAAAAAAAAAACAAAAAGTGTCTAGCAGTTTGGATATTTTTATTTTTCTTATTTTTGATTACAGCTTGATTCCACACTGTATCTTTGGTACAAGTATGGAATTTTCAGAATGGATATCGGTAGCCCAAATTTTGCAGGCTGACCATAGATATCAGGTGTGGGTCGGCAGGGAATCGAACCTCGGACCATGTGCATGGTCGGCGAGAGTCCTAACCAATGTTCCACCTTTCGATAAATCCTGGAACAAACATACCTGTCGACGTCCAACACTTGACTGATTGAGAAAACGCTTTATTTGAATTAAGATGTGTGCTGAAATCAGTGAGGGTCAAGTACGGTTAAAAAGACAATCAATTATGCAAGTTAATGAATATTCCCGCCCACAATGTTAAAATACAACAGCATGTATATACACAATTCACACCGACGATAAACAAGTATCTCCATTAGATAAGCCTTTACTATGTCGGTAACTGCGAGCTTTCAATATGCAGTCCAATATACGAAGCAGACTTATTTCTAATTTTCTTTTCTGAGGCGTCATTATTCCTTCAGGAAATTATCAGAGGCATAATGCGAGGCCTGAAGGTCAAATAATACACTGAAGTAATTCATCATGTGGTCTAAATCTGAAAGGCCGTAACTTAACTGTCGTTCCCACATCCAATCCAGTTAGTTAATGATAAAGGCAAATAAATTAGAATCAACGTCAACTCGTCTACATCAGGTCGTCAATTTCCAATTGAAAATATATCATGAAAAAGTGGAGGAAATCCTGTTCATTCTAATAACCACCTGCAGTTTAAGTAGAAGTTAGCGCAACAGCTTTACCAGTATACGTAATTCACACTTGTTTCGACCACTTCAGAACCATCGACAATTCAGTTAGTTTTGCAAGTTGAAGCAACATTTCAAGGAACCCAAGATAACTTTCAGTTTAAGTCAGCTACTTATTCTGGTTAATTTGACGTCTACAACACAACTGGAATCAACAGCTCAGTCCAAACTGCCAATCATAAGGAGTCTTACACCATTAACAGCACGATATCATTAAAAGAAAAGATGATACAAAACAAACAGCTACTGACAACTTTAAGAGATCAGAAATGATTCAATTACATTAAAGTTCTCATTTGATTATGCCAAAAACTCAATTAATAAGCCTTAATAAGATGGAAAATACGCTTAACTACTGTCAGTGAGTGATAAATTCATGATAGTAATAAAACCGATACACTGTTAAGTTCAGATATATTATTAGGCAACACAATACTCCATAGACTAAATGACATTTCAGCGAGCAGTAGGACTTAAACTTTTTTTTGTATAATGAATATAAGGAAGGCAACATGAAGTCGCATAGAGATATCATTAATAAAACTAATAAACAACTATTAGGCTCTAATTCCCTAAGCAGAGATTGACATTTCTCTGAGTCTAAAGTTGGATATGTCCCTTGATTTCAATAATATTAACAGATTAATGCAAAATTAATAATCACCTTTTACTGGAAAAAAACACGGCATTTGTTGGTGAAGTTGGACTGACGCTGTAAATTGCGTTGATGACTGTAGCGAATTGCATAAACGGATGAGTTACCTAGACGTTAGACGACTGAACTGTAGTGTGGTAATAAAAACAGACACTTGTCAACTTGACATGACTTCAAGGGAACTTATGCATGCTAAAAGACTTTTGTAGGGCGTCCACTATCAGAAATTATTCTTAGAATAACTGGTCAGTAATTCTGTAATTAAAATGAGAGTAGAATTCGGGTAATGTGACATAAGTCCCTATTAGATAAGTTTATTTCATATAAAAGACGGTGATACAGTACTGAATAACTGGATGATATTTCGAGAGCAATTTATGGCTGATAATCTAATCAGTGTATTCACATAACTCTATGACTTGATTTATTAGCAAGCCCCATGATCAGATCATCACTATTATTAACAAAGATAACAGGAAACGACAGGTTTTAAATGGAGAATAGAGCAAGGTTGTCATTGCTTTCACTAGTTATTGATTTGTAGCATTAACATCAAAGCGAAGTAATTCTCATATCAATGAATATGCAGTGGTTAGCATACAGAAGAAGATGACTATTATATAATGCTAGTTGGTAGGATGATCTGTGGTTATCCCAATTATGATAGCCAAAAAATAAACACAAACATCTCACCAACTCAACGAGACCACTAAAGAGGATGATGTTTCCATAAATAGGCGTATACATTCAAATCATCAGGAGTCACTTGAAGATAGTTTTCATTTTACCACAGAAACAACGGTCACATCTGCACTAATTATTTATTCATTATATGATTTACTGGGTATAACAAACCTATATATATATATTAAACATTAAGAACAAAAGAAAGTACAAATGTATATTCTTCCTCCTGGTTATCCAGGTAAACAAAGAAACCAACATATGAAAAGAGTAGGAGAATACAACAACAAAATAATAAGCGAAACGATGGAAGTAATGGATATGAAATAGTATCCTTATTTTCTATAACTTAAGCAATTATAAGACAACTAAAAGAAATCAACGACACAGAAAGAGAAGGTAAAAACATGGTAGAGAAACATGGCTATATAGCACAATCGTAAACAGCTGAGCAAATAAGGAAAACACAACAAACAAATAACCAAAGACTTTCATGTTGGCTTGTGTGTGTGTGTGTGTGTGTGGTTTAGCATATATGGCTACTTAAGTATGCACGCGTATATTGACGAATAATACGGATAAGTAGTATGTATAAAACAAACAAAAAAACTAAATGAAATCGAACAGAAGTAAAACCACGAATGGACAAATTAACGTAAAGCAATAAAGGAATAAAACGATAATAGGTAAATAGAAACACATCAGATGATAAACATAAGAACGATTGCAATCTCTCATTTCCGCACTTGTTCGCTTCTTCTACGCTTCACGAACATTAGATATTGAAGAATACAACTCATACACTGCTCAGTTCCATGAAACCTTCAAGGAACAAACGGACAGGAAATGAAAGAAAACACTTGAAAAGAAACAAGTGAAATTTTATTTTTAGCTCAAGTGACAATAACTCACATCACACATACCAATATATATATATATGAAATATATTTATTTATTTACAATACGAAGGAAGGGTAATAGCCAAATGACTTCAACTAAAACGAAGAAAAGGGTAGGAGAATAATAACATTAATCATTGGATCAACAATAAGGAGCAACAAAGTAGCAATTAGAGCAGAAAAAGAAAGAAAGAAAAATAAATCAAGTCAAAACCAAAACATTTTTGTTGGCTAGAAAAGGTTTTCACTAAAAGTATTCATGATCACAGAATGAACTATTATTCTACGATGATAAAGAAGAAATTTCTTTTAAACCATTCACATGAGACATTTTAAGACAGAATCACATTTTTCTATCGACCAGATGCGATAGAACATATAAAGTAAGTAAGCAGTCTAAAACAGTTACACTTGAAGAGAACACTACAGTAATGAACAACCATACTGTTGTAGTTTTCATGCACATGAAGGATTAAATCGAATGAATGGAATGCCAACACTGAGATGGAGACAGGAAGTGAGATCATCAAATAGGAAGAATAAGTCCTTTGAGAAATATTTTATGGTTAATGTTGTAAAAGAGGTTTAAAAAAACGCTTTGAGAGCAAAGTCAGCTTTTCTGAGACCAAGCTATTTTGAAATAATCGATCAAATGCGACCACCACGCATATACCTATACCAATCACCAAACAAAGTCTACAAATATTTGTCAGAAAAGTGAACGGAAATATAACAGTATTATCAGTGGCAACATTCTGTGAAAAAAAGGAAAAAATTAAAGATGCTAGTATTCAACAGTATGAGAACTGGTCAAAGAAAGTTCTACAAAGTAAGAAAGTACTTTAAATTACTGAAGCATTAAAAAGGTATTCAGCATGGTGCTCAACAATTTCAATTCTATACGTAAACATTAGTAATATCAGTATCACCGACAAACTCAAATAACTGGGAATTACAACAATTCAATCGACGTACTTAAGTACTTGAGTTCATTGGCAGTAACTTTGTGGAATTCGGCAGCAAAGTGTGTAATTTAAGTGTAGAGAGCAAACAGTGGACTTCACAAGCTATGATGGAGATTATGACAGCAACAAACGTCGACGAATAAGATCAAGATTATTCAATCAAGTCATAAAACTTCACAAGGAAATCAAATTATCAAAACAAATTAGAAAGACTGGCAGACAACCGTTTTCATACAGACGAAATAGAAAGAAACATGAATTTCACAAATTCAATTGTCTACACAGTGAATACTTTATGTGATGAATAACAATGAATCCGTTTTGCAGTAAGAACTGTAACCCAGCGGAATAACGGTAGAAACGTACAAAAAATTAAATATAGTGAAATAGTGAGTAAAAACAAATCAATATCAGATACTATATTGAAAAAAAAACAACAACTGTAAATCACTTCCATATCAGACAAACGTGGAGAGAAGAAGCACAAGGTGTGAAAAAATCAAAAACAAGTAAAACCATTTAACTTAGTGTGAATTATAAGCACTTGAGATAAAAATAAAAACATAAAATATAACTCGCTTATTATTACTGTAACATCATAATAACAAAGTGATTATCATCATTAACAATAATAGTAGTAGAAGTGGCAGTGTTTATAATAGTAGTGACGCTTATATCAACGATAGATGTTGCTAAAGTATGATGGAACAAGTTAAAATTCACTGAATTCTTTTGCACATTTTTCCGTCGTAGCGATTCGTAATGGTTCTTCTTCATAGTCATCGAAATTACTGGCATCACCGGCCCCAGAACATTTAGGAGTAAATGGAGCCTCAATCTGTGTGAAATATATGTGTAGAAAAAAACATTGTTATTAATGCAATTAAAATTGATTGTGAACATAAAATCGAAAAGTTAACTTGATTACCGAAACATGTTAGATCTCATACAATTAACATTGATATTATTATTATTACTGTTAATATTTCCTTTATATCCTGCATAGGAGGACAGTCCTGAGTAATAACCAATTCACTTCTAAGAATATTGATTTGTTCGTTGAACAAGCTGGAAGATGATTCATCGTGAGAAATTCATGGTTTTCCTGTAAACTCCCAGACACTAAGACAACGCATGACATACTACACTGTATTAACACAATGAATCCGTGCTCCAGGCGTTTTGCTGTTCTGAGTGTTTGGGTTTTTTAAGTTGCAAAAGTCTGCTTCAGTATTATATTCGGTCCACTTTCAAGAGGAAGCTGTTTTAGAAAAATTAACCGCTAAGTCACACTGATTATGATTACTGAATTTATAAATATCAAAGAGACTAGGCTGTGTCCTGGTAAAATAGCTTAACAGCCGACTTGCAGCTGCGCCTTACAGTTTCAAATATAACTCTATAAGAAGAACTATAATGCATACGGTTGAAGACATTCACAAAGCATTGGAAATACGTTAGGTGTTTGTTAGTGACTAGTGGTTGGTTGTCTAAGTGATAAACAAAATTTCTAATAAGTGTTTATTTATCAAAAGGAAACGAATATGTACACCCTCGTCACTGAAAAGGCGAACGAGTAACTGACTCAATAAAAAGCAACTAAAATAAGATAAATAATTACTTGAAAAACAGAATGACAAAACAATCAAAGGGAACGAAATTTCATGGAAACACGTTAGAGAACAAACAAAATACACAACTCTTTGTTAGACCTACCGAAAACATCCTTTACAGGAAATTATTAAATTGAAGACATTTTACGAAAAAACTTATGTACATTAATATATTTTTTTTATTATTTTTATTATATAAGCTTTATTCCAAATCAGTACTTGTGATACAGAATGGAATTCTCAGCATTTTACTACAATATTGCATCCAGTTTTTACATTAACAATAAATAAAGTTCTACATAGATTAAAGATTATCTCAACAACATATAAGTATGTCGGTAGCAAAGCCAAAATTAAAATGTTTGAAGGTGTTACAAAAGTAGATACTACTAGCATATTTACTGGCGTAAGCGATAGCAAAATGGTCGAGATATACAGAGTGTAAAAGAACAACAAGATGTTTTAACTAGAGTTTGCAAGGAAGAGAAAAACAAAACAGCACTTAACAAAAATAAAGACAAAAAAGGTAGAGAGAATGGAAAAGAGAGAAAAACGTTGTACCCATAAATGATGTGAGTTGGAAAGACGAGATTCATTGGTTCTAGTGACTATTTAATAAGTTAAAGGTTTCATGCCTGATGCATTCTTTATCACACAGAACACGGGCTAGGTATAATCATACATATATGTTACTTAGGAAGAAAAGGTTCCTACTAAGCCAGCTTTTTTTATAGTGAAATATCACATTCTTTCCCTCTCTTCATGTCATATAAAAAGCGATGATAACTGAATTGCGCCTACAAAAACACCCATGAAATTATACACTAATATTTAGTTTATCTTTCACCCACCAGGCCCTCGACTGGAACCCCAATGGGAAACGACGAGTGGATCATCCTAGAAAGACATGGAGATCATGTGAGGGGTTGATAAGAGATTGTGGGTAATCGTAGGCCCAGATGAGGAGGACATCAAAAATTAGAAAATAGTGGGGATCTTCAAGAATTGGTTTTGTAGGGATCTTTGTTTGACTGGTTGGAGGATTTCATCATGATCTGGCATTAGTTAGGGAGCCACTGGAAAACCTGGGAGTAGTGGACATCTGTTTTGTCCTAGTCTCAGACTCTTCACCAGTACGCACCCACCAGGGTGCAAACGCAGGACCTCATTGTTCAGGTAAAAAATGGCTCACCAGTGACTGGCCCTATTCAGGCAGTTAACCTGGGGTTCTAGTGAGAAGCTGTGACCAATAGGGCGCAGAAGGTTGAAGGTGAGGCGGTATCTCATCGAAGAAGACATTGCGAAGTGGTTGTGCTATGTGATGAATTGGCAGAAGTTAGAATTCATGGTCTGGCCATTGGATCGGGTCCCAGTGGCTTAATGGTATACGAGCTCGCCTTGGGTCCTGGGTTCGAACCCCGGTGGGTGAGTACTTCTGAAGGGTCCCAAACTAGGACAAAACAGCTGTCCAGCACTCCCAGGCTTTCCAGTGGTTCTCTAACTGATGTCAGCTCATGATAAAATCCTCCAACCAGTCAAAGTGGAGATTTTTGTTGCAGCCTTATGTTCCACACGCAATCCAAGGGAATAATAATAATATAAATTTGGTTCATCTTGTACACACATTCTACTCTTGAAAGCTGATATTTGTCCTCATATAAAATAACAATGATTATAGTAACAGTAACAATAAAAATAGTGATAACAACCGATATCAGCTCATGTTGGAGTCCTGTAACCCATCAAATACCTGAAAACTAACATTCAAATAAGAGTAATGACAATCCATAACTTCTCCGTTCAAAATAGCACACTAATTTCAGTGAAGTGGTGAACGTTAAAATCAACGGTTTTTTATAAGTATCCACCTTGAAAGCAGTGATTTCTTCAGGCAAATAATTCAAATAGAGCAGTTGTCATGAGCCTTCTTATCGACTGGTCACTGAAGTTATTTTCCATTTTCAAATAGCTGGGTGCCAACAATCAGAAAATCGAAGGCTAACATCGATTTTGCAGTCACAAACGCTTATGGTCGCCGTCAAAATTTAAAAGAACTTCAAATAGGTTTTGAATTGGAATGAAAGAAAGATGGAACACATTTTCGTGAAGCATAAGTGACATTATCTAATCCCATGGCTTTTCATAAGATGAGCACAGCCTAAAACATACAATGAATCATTGCAATTTAATCAATAAATAACATACTTTAAGTGTATGGAAACACAGATCAAGGTCCAAAATTCCATGATAACAGTATTATGATGGATGCTTTGAGAAGATGTGAAAAAGCGGCAAATAAAAATCCTAGTCAAAATCAATGACAATTAATTTTTGGTCAGATAGATAGTTCTAGATGCGTAAGGAAAAAAGGTTCGAACAAAGAGATATGTAAGAGATGAGGATCACTGAACAACTAAGGGATTACATAAGCAAATGATTAACTGGACAATATCACAATAACTGTGATTAAATATTAGTAGTTAAAAAGCAAAGGACCTTCCAACTAAATTACTGTTATATATAATCCAGTGAAGTGAGAATATCAATCAATCTTGTTTAGTGTACCACTTTCATACTGAAGCATTATAATATCAAGTGCTTAGATAAGTCAAAGCAAAAGATTAGAAAAAACCTATTCACCACCGAATTTTCATCGTGCAGTTTTGAAAAATAGTTCTTCAAATAAATTTCTTCTTGAAAACGTCAGGGAATATTTTCCTCTGAATTTCATTTTGCTGACTAAGCAACTTAAAACTGTCTACCTAATCACATGGAACTTATCATCATTTTGACTCGGGATTGTGATATTTGCTTCTTTTTTTCATCTCATATTACTGTTATCATCGAATTCTGTGACCTCATCTTTCTTTCAACACGATCGAAATATACTATACAATTGAAGATTGTAACAACAATTTTGCAAAGCGCATTCAACTGATGAAAAGCCATAGGATTAGACAAAATGTATTCACCTCACGAATATATTTGCTTTGGACTACCTTCAAAGTTATCCAGGGGACGAAATGTTTAAAACTTTAAACTTCTAATTTCTATTTCAAAATATCAGCTGAATCCACTGAATACCTGGCCTGACGACAATGACCTAAGCTAGTAAATTATTACAATTGAAGTTTAGTAACTAAGTTATTCCAACATATTGGAAATCTGCGCAGTGAAATTCAAATGCCTGCATCAATCCATCTGAACATTCACCTCCAAGTATTTACTGAAGAATTATCGTTTATGTTTCTCCTTCTCAATAGATAGTTATGAGTCGAAAATAACAACAGCATAATGTCTTTTTCTAAACCCGATGCTCAAACATCCACATAAACTACTAAACTTTGAAACAAATGAAGACACACTGTTGGCAGTATTTAGACAGAATTGATCAGAGAGAAAAATGATTAAACTCTAAAATTAAATACGCTATAAACCAAACGTCGTGTCTCTCCACCTCTGCTAAAAATGGTTGAAATTAATTCTGTTAAATTTTTAAAAAAATTTATTTTTTCGAAAAAGTACAACTTACATCTCGTTTATAAATAGAGAACCAATCAGTTGTAGCAAACCACTTGTGTGTTTTAATATCATTGACTCCATTCTTTAAATTACCAAAGCGCTTAGTGAGATCAACTTGTAAAAGATTGCGCAGTAAATCTTTTAAATCAGAACTAAAGTGAGATGGGAAACGAACCTGCGGAAAACAAATTCGATTAAAGTTACATTTCAAACAGATCAATAACTTATGCAAAATTCATGTAATAAAAGTTGTTATTATATGAGCGAACTCCACCTAAACAAACTGCTATAATACAATAGCCTCTAGTGTTGTCTACTAGTCAAAAATCTTACAACCAGAAATGCAACAGATAACCATACCTTCACAAAGAAAGTACGTAAATGATTTGTAGCAATAATTATTTAAAAGTATAGTAATTTATGTTCCTGAACTGGATATGCGTAAAGAAAATGCAGACTGCGTTTATATAAAACAACCACATCTTTGTCTACATTAACCGCGAAGGTGAAAATTACTGCTCTGAAGTAAAGCTAGATTTCCATTCGATCATACATACGCAATACCAACTTGCATTCATTCTTTTAAAGTTTGCGCGCAAATCGCATCTGTAAATTTCATGTAGAGCAGGATACTTTATTGTTCACTCATTAAACCAAGAAAACATAAAATTGAAAGGAAAAACAGGTCAATACCAGGCGGTAACCAAAACAACACTAGCTCAGTCTGCTACAGACTAATATTCCAAATTAAGACAGAGAAACATAGTTATCAAACATTTTCTCAGACCTACAGCACTGTATGAAAAAGATTACTATGAATTCAGCTCCTTTCGCACAGCCTACAGTAGCAAGCAGAAATAAAACTAGGCTAAAACATTACCAGAACTTCTGCAGTTTGGATATATATATATACATGGTTGACTGAATCCCATTCCTGATTAGAATCATATACAGACCGGTAAGCGTATTGCCGTTGTTAGAAGTGGACCATCCGGTTTTGCCTGTGCAGATGAACTCAACATGGTAAATTTTATGAAGACTTCATACATACTATTTTCTCAGATTAAAATATTCCAGTTGTTATGTTTTGACTTTGAATTATGCAGACAAAGAAACAGTTAAATCAACATAAAACGTTTATCAGAGATGCATTTTAATGTGAAATTTCACTGAGACTGATTACTGAAAACTGAAATGGTCAAGTCACTATAGTGAATTTGTTTCGTTTATTACAAATATTTTAATGATATTATGACAGAAAGCATACAAGAGTAATGGTGAACGGATAGATGTAATGAAGTTCTAAATGTCCACAAGTCTTATCATAATAAGATGGCATCTTGAATTGGTTTAATGCCAGTTCCACGTGCATTAGCCTTATTTTTAAATATATGGCAAATAGGTCTCTCTCCCAGAAGTCCCTCTTACGAAAAACCAGATGGCAATATGAGAAGAAATATGAATAAGAAAAGCACATGTCGAGGACAATATACATATTGTTGGAGATTAGTTCTCCTCCATCGTACAAAAAAAATTCAACAAGGATCTTCAGCAACCGGGTTAGAAGATGTAACTGAAGATGAACTTCGGATTGTGTTTTACACCTTTAATGAAAACAGCTATCCAAAGTAGTTCATCAAGGAACACATGATCAAGAAAGTAGAAAAGGACTATTCTCCATCTGCAAATAAGAAGCCTTTATATATACAACTCCATTTTAAGGGTGAAGTACTGACTGGAATAATTACTAACAAGTCAAGAGAATCTATTCAAAGGACTTTTAATGCTGGTAAACGACAAGTAATATTTTCTAACAACCGGTTGTGATTACTCAATTGAAAGATGAAGTACCTAGACTACCCACCTTTAGTTGTATGTATCAATTTTAACTGAGCTTGTGGGCCGAGTTATATCGGCTTTTTCTCCAGAAACTTGATTTTTCGTGCTTGGGAACATCTACCAGTGTGGCTAAATAAAGGTGTAGTGAGAAGCATCAACAGAGTGACACTGAAACGCCTAATCCAAATCAACCACAAGACTGATATTGAAGAGTCATTCTTCATCATCTATCGGGTACCAAAGAAATTGCCAAAAGTATCCCGGTACCGAATACTCCAGATAAAAGAGGTTATTGCGACTCTCCTGAAACAACCAGTGCTATGTGAGCAGAAGAAACAGGTCCATCCAACCACTACTACTTCCTTGACCTTCTGTTGAACCTATAAATCCATGAATTCCATATTATTATTATTTTCTAATTTATCTGATATTCAGTGTACAGCGAATCAATAACATCAACAGATTACAGTTCAATAACATTTTTAATTGCATCAACATAACAAAACACTGAATATCAGAAAAATTAGAAAAAAATAATGATATGAAATTCATGGATTTATAGGTTCAACAGAAGGTCAAGGAAGTAGTAGTGGTTGGATGGACCTGTTTCTTCTGCTCACATAGCACTGGTTGTTTCAGGAGAGTCGCAATAACCTCTTTTATCTGGAGTATTCGGTACCGGGATACTTTTGGCAATTTCTTTGGTACCCGATAGATGATGAAGAATGACTCTTCAATATCAGTCTTGTGGTTGATTTGGATTAGGCGTTTCAGTGTCACTCTGTTGATGCTTCTCACTACACCTTTATTTAGCCACACTGGTAGATGTTCCCAAGCACGAAAAATCAAGTTTCTGGAGAAAAAGCCGATATAACTCGGCCCACAAGCTCAGTTAAAATTGATACATACAACTAAAGGTGGGTAGTCTAGGTACTTCATCTTTCAATTGAGTAATCACAACCGGTTGTTAGAAAATATTACTTGTCGTTTACCAGCATTAAAAGTCCTTTGCACTTTCTTTTTGTTCAGGAACTATTAATGGTGTTAATAACCTTAATTCTTTCATTTTTATAGATGCATAACTGTTGAACTTGACGAAGTTATAGAAAAGAAAATTCTTTCGTCAGTAATCAGTCTTTTTAAATTTCCAATGGGCATTTTTGATCAAGAAAAGAAAGTCTCAACAGTTTTCAGTTTATTGATCTTCGTAGTAATTTAAGGCATTTCGAAATTTACCTCTCAGAGTCATATGGTGTCTACCAAGAAAATGAATAAGTATACATGAAGAGGTGTAAAATAAATGCAACGACATATTCTACTGCTGTTTCTGTAAGTGCTCATATAAGCATATATATATATATATATATATATGCGAACATGAAATGGTTTTTTGTGAGATTTCAGATACTTAAAAAACATGACAAAATGAAGGAGCACAGTCAACACATCTCTTAGTTTTATTCAAAGAAGTTATGTCTTCATTATCGTAACTTGAAAGAGATTTCCATTCACATTCACCGAACACGGGATGAAAACGGATACCAAAGGCTATGGGTTTATGGAATAGTGAAGTTATTCATCCACCGGCTTAAGTAGTATAATTTTAAATAATCCGAAAGAACTTTAAGAAACATGTACTCAGACTCTGTTAAAATTTGAACAGGAATTCTATTTTTAGACTTTAGAGGCCCCCTTTGGTACTTCCTTCAACCTATATCTCTTCAGCTGATCGGTTGGATACTTTTCGGTGATATATGACAGATTTTTAAAAAATCTTTTATTTGTATAATGGTCTGTGATGGTTCTTTATTTGAAATTTTGGCTATTCATCATAAAAAAGTGAGCCTACTTATAACTTACGGAAATTAAACTGTCAGTTGACTTATGACTATCTGATATTATCACATTTTGAAATAACTTTTGAGACTAAAAAAGTACATATATCTAGCAGAGAAAAATCGTTGTGATGCAATGATTACAGTTTCGAATCATGAACTGCGATGCGTTAAGGCTACGTGCACTACCGGGTTTTATTTCAAACTCCAGTAAATAAACACCTAAAATCAGACAGTCAGTAATTAGATTTGAACCAATGACTAGCCAGGTATACATAGAACCAGAAAATATATCAGTGGAGTGTGATATTTTGGACTATGATTACAAAACCAGTAATAAAACTGACTGCAAAGTGAATAGGCTCACTATCAGTACTCTTCAAATCGCTATAGGTATGATGAAAAACCTTAATCAAGCTGAAAATGTTACTGTAGAAGTGAATACTAATTAATGACAAAATTAACAAAAATTCAACATAAGAAATTAGAGTAAGCAGTTTTCACTGGTGGGTTGTGTTTGAACCACTTTGGACGTTTCTAAAACTAAGCGACATTTCCATGTTTTAGCAGAATAAAAAATTTTCTAATTTCATCTTTTGAAGAAGTGATAAACCTATTTTTATAGGCCACAAATATCATAATAAAATTATGACTAAGCAATTGTATATGTTTGATTTTGAAGTCTGAACCCTAGGTATAATTATGAAGCAACATTTACTGTCACCGACTAGTACGAACTCTCAATCCGTCCATATAAATACCATATAAAAGTTTTATTAATTCATAATTTAATGTGAAATATCTATATAATATATTACATATGTCATCACGTGAACATGGCATCGCTGTTAACGAATGTCATAAACTCACTTTAATCAGTGAAGAAGGAACTTAAGTGCTACAACACCAACGGTAATCAACATAGGCAAAATCTTAATTTAGTAAAGAAAATTATAATACGCTGCTTTTCTTTTTTGACTTTTCTCGTCTAGGAAAGTGAATTTAAATTACTTAGAATGACTTCGGAAACTTTTCAAACGAAAAAAAAACAACGCTCAAACAGTAACTACATGTAGATTTCACTGGAAGACGCGTATGATTGATTTGTCTGTTTTCGTATTTTCAGCTATACGTGTTCTCAGGCTCTTCTATAATTCTGAAAACTTTGCACACTCACGAAGATACCATAATACTAAATAGTTACAAATCAATTAAATACCAACCTAAAACTCAGTGTTTTACTAAAGTAAATGAAGTAAATTTGCGAATGATTTATGTGTTTCATTGCAAAAAAATCATAGAAAGGTGAACGAATAAGCCAACATTTGCAATTGAATGCTTGTATCACCGAATGTATTAATACGTAAAAACAGTCACATGAAGAAATTTGAGCACATAACACAGTTTGCAAATATATATATATATATCTATTATTGATTTCGATTTTCGATTTTTGATTTACAGCTTGATTCCATACTGTATTTTTGGTACAAGTATGGAATTTTCAGAATGGATATCGGTAGCCCAAATTTTGCAGGCCGACCATAGATATCAGGTGTGCGTCGGCGTGGGCTCGAAGCCCGGACCATGTACATGGTCGGCGAGAGTCCTAACCACTGTGCCACCGACGCACATGTGTCAGTATGTGAAAGTTCTATGAATTTTTTACGAGTTGATCACGGATTGATATCAGTTAGAGAACCATTGAAAACCAGGGAGTACTGGACAGCTGCTGTTTCATCCTAGTTTGGGAATCATCGGCAGTACGCACCCACTGGGTTTCGAACCCAGGACCTTCCGGTTACAAGGCAAGCTCGTATACCATTCAGCCACTGGGACCCGATTCAATGGCTCGTGAATTCTAACTTCTACCAATTCGTGATTTAGCGCGACCCCAACCATTGTCGTTGGTGGGACATCCATCCACACACGTGACATCTAATTGGACCTCACTGGTCACGACTTCTCACTAGAACTCAGGAAACTCCAACCTGTAGCAAGTCACTAGCGAGCATCAGATTAACTTTCTATAGTTTTGGTTTGTAAGGATTAGTTATGTTTTACGAGTTGATCACGGATTGATTTTGAATTTGTTATCGAATCTCACAAAAAGATATGCTGAATAAACTGGAAAGCAGTCTCTGATAATGCCTAACTTCGAGTTACACAATTAATATTTGAATTTTCTTCATTAACATTGACAGATTTTGTAAAGTTGGATGAGATGTGTGTAGATTTTCTGTCTCCTCTCCAATAATTTAAATGTTACGCATTTTAAGTCAACATCTTTATTCCCCTCTAACGTCAGCACTGAACACATCGATAGCTGTGGTGTGTAAAGTGCTAGAAGTAACCTAGCTTTGTATCTAGAGTACCAGGCATCAAAGGTACTGTGTTATGTGCTTATAACTGACCAAGTGAACACGAACACATTTAATCCCAGTCCCTCAAACTACCATTAGCAATACTGTCTGTGCATTCACCTTGTCTCTGTCTACTCACAACTGAACTGGTTCTTCTAACCTACCCTTTCTGTTCCTTAATTTGTGATAAAATATGAAGCAGTTTACTTCATTTTTATAGTTTTAATTTGACATTCCTCCACAAATATGTTGGACATGAACACTTAGAGATAAAATTACTGAGAAAACTTATGCAGAACTACAACATATAATTTTGCACAGTAAAACATACTTTTCCTGACACAATACGCTCATAAATTTGAATCGGTTGGTCGGCGAAAAACGGTGGATAGCCAGCTGCCATTTCATATACTAGAACGCCCAGTGCCCACCAGTCAACTGCTTTATTATAACCCTAAAGTGAACGAAAAAGAAACAAAAAGACTAAATTAAAATGGAGGACCATAATCCAGTAAATACTTCCATGAATACAAATCTCATGACTGCGTAGCAAAGATTATTTCGTCAGTGTTAGTTTGTTCTTTTTTTCTTACTATCTCTACAGGCATATACCATATTAAATTATGAGTTAAAGTGTGTGGTTTGCTACTGACAAGACTTATCAGTGGTATATAAAGAGACGTTCATCGGCATGAAAATATCAAATAGCGGAGAGATAGATTTGACATCAAAGAGAGCAAATGAACCAGCGTTGTGGAAAAACATGGGAGACACAAAAAGAAGACAAAGAAACACAATACGAAGGAAGAAAGTAGAGCAACAGGGAAGATCTGTACAAATGGCAATTTTCAGAAAAAGTATACATCATTCCTGTATATAGAGATACCTAATCCCAAAAATTCCTTTACCAAGTCACACGTCTTCTAGCGTTACAAAGGTACATAGGCAAGGCAAAAAAGAATTGAAGTTTTTGACTGTATATTTGAATCTTATTCCAGCGATTGGCACAAGCCTTCACTTGTACAATCGCTTTATGACAGCTATGTTCTGTAAGCCCGAATTTATTACATTTCTCTGTAGTTGTTCCTGCGATATCACTGAAACCTATCTTATCCATTCCCGAAGACCTACATTCTTGTTCTTAATATTAATTTTTCACCCACCCTGTTATTATTGATTTGTATTATTATTTGTATTATTCTTGCTTGTAATGTAAATTTAGTATAACTAGACATATGTGGATAAAGAAAAGGTCTACTCAAACTTTAAATTAAGTTACGTTTGTAACTGAACAAAACATTAACCACATCTGCAGTCAACAATGCTCATTCAGGCCCTTAAATATTTTCATTTAACCCACGGACTGACCATAAGCTAGTACAAAACCTAGCTGGTTGTTCTACCTATTCAGATCGCTAACGTTTAGGTTAAATCACCCTTATATTTCATACTAAAATAAGCCTCACTACGTGACCGTTCTCCCAGATATTGTACATTGAATACAATGACTATTCACAAATACAAATAGGAAGAGAAAAATTGATAAAGAAAATAGATTCACAGACACGTAAGTCAATCAGGCAGAATAAATAATCAGGTAATTCAGAGAAAGCAAATAGGACACGCTATGCATACATATATTTTTAAAAAGTGATAGATAAACAGACATATCTACCTGGAGGGAAGAAAAAGCATACATGCCATAACAAAGGTTTGTATAATACTAAAATAGGATTGACAATTGAATACCAATAACGGGGCTATTATCGATTATTAAAACCCATTCAGTATCAAAGGTTGAATAAATACAATAACAACAATATAACTATGCAAGAATGCCTACATTGGAGAAGTGTTCTGATCAAATGCAACTAAAATAGGGTAAATTAAGTCATCCATCGGTGTAGAAAAAAGTAGGTGAAACACAGCGAATGTAATATTATATCGAGATTAGTCGATAGCTTACACCTATAATCATCAAAAACGTAGTTGCAGAGTCTTGAGTAAACCAGCTAGACTGAACATACCATCCTTAGTTCCAACCAATTGCTTGCAATATTTATGAGACTCGGAGTTAGTCATACAGAATAACACAATTAAAAAACAGCATTCTTTATTTAGTGAAACAAATTAGCTACGATAAAATATAAATGTGAAAATAATTCGTTTACTAAGCAAATGAACTTGAATCAGTTGCATCGGATCAATGGACGCAATAATTTTATTTATTTTTTTAGTTTTGATTACAGCTTGATTCCACACTGTATTTTTGGTACAAGTATGGAATTTTCAGAATGGATATCGGTAGCCCAAATTTTGCAGGCCGACCATAGATATCAGGTGTGCGTCCGCAGGGGATCGAACCTCGGACCATGTACATGGTCGGCGAGTGTCCTAACCACTGTGCCACCGACGCACACTAAAATATTCTTTAATGGACTTATCTATATACCTTAGACTCTCAACCAGAAATTCACTGTATCGGTGTCATCATTAACAGTCGGCTCATTTGTTTTCTTCAAGCAGCTGTATATTACTGTGAACCTATTGGATGTTTTAAAAACGTATTTACATAGCACGAAAATAAAAACAAAACTCTGTTGGCATTGTAGAGATAGATCATTAATGAACGATGAGTATGAATGGATAAGACACATGATTTTTTTATGCATCACAAGGGGGAAGATGAAATTAGGAATAAACAAAAATAATGTTGCATTCTTCCAAATTTCTAATTATACTTCACTTGTTTAGTTGTTTTTTTTTATTCCTAGTATTTCTGATATTTAAGGATCAGGTATTTGTACAACTTTTGTATGCGTGTGCAAACACTGCTAGTTTTCACCACAGTATTTAAATTTACAAAATGATAAATACACCAATGGAAAGCAGAAACAAACAGGGAAAGATTCAACACAGAAGAAAGTGGAAGTAGAAAGGATGGAAAACGAGTGAAAAGTTACATTTTTCATTCTGTCCAAAGAATTTTTTTTAGATAACACTGGATGATAATTTGGATAAGGAATTCATGAAGAATAGAAAGTAGGACATCCCATCAGCTCTGAAAAATTGATTAGTTGTATTGTGCTACTGGAATTCAGTCAATTACAGTTAAGTGAAAGTGTTTCAGATCCCCCTACTAGTGACGACATACTATCTACATTCATTTATTAAATTTCTGTAGATACAATTTATTTCAAAGCAATTTTCGTCACAAATGGACATCAGTCACAGAGTTTGAGGTTTTGTTGTTACAGACACCTATAACCACTTAGGATCAAAAGTAGCACTGCTAGGTTTTAAGGTAAGAACTTACTATTTGTTTACAAGGTAGGAAGAAATTCAATACCCCGCAGTTACCAAATGCTGTGAATTATTGATGGATTATCATCGACATCCAATGCACTTGTTAAATAACTGAGCAATAGTTCACTTCGTCCTTCCTGTGAAATGTGGCTTTTGAAAGCCAAAGACATGGAGAGACTACAGGTTCTTGACCAAAACTGTCTTCAATCTCTCTCGTGCTGGGTATAGCAGTATAGTCAGTAACAATTAGGTTATGCCTAAGGCGTTAGGTAAGGGTTGAAGTCAGTTAATACGATCGTGAATTTAGGTTGATTAAAATGAGTGTGTCATGTGTCACTCAATATGAGCTGTCGCCTTCCTCAACAAGTAGTGTTGTCTAATATAGGATTAGGTTAGAGAGAATTAGTGGTGTTCGAACCAGAACATGGCACCAATCCATGAAGTATTTAACTTTTGATTTAAGCCACGTACGGCGGCATAGACTGACTGACTAGGACCCTCTCGACGCTAAGAAACTGTTATTGAAAGCCTTTGTTGCCATGGCTTAATACACTGTCAATGGGAAAAGTGGAGAGACGTCTGAAAGTGGGGTCAGTGCCACTAAAATAAAAAGCCAGCTACCTTATTCATAAAAATTATTACTACTAATTCTACCAGTGTTTCTTCAAAGCCACATAGCGAAAATCCAACAAATGGTTGACAAAACTGGTAAATCACAGCTTACTTTACTCAAAATAATTTCAGGTGCCAAATACTCCGGTGTACCACAGAGTGTCCATGTTCTACCTTTCACTCGCTTAGCGAAACCAAAGTCCGTTATCTGTGAAGGATAAAAATAACAGTTATACTGAATAAGTACTAAGTTAATAATCTAATAGTGATGAAGTTGAGTATTTGGTAAGATTATAATGAAACAGTGAACATACTTACTTCCAAATCATTTAGAAAACAAAATGTCACTTGATGAAGAGTTAATGCAGACACTTCTTTCTTAGAATCACCAAACAACATACTTGAAACAATAACTCAGCTTACTACTAAGAACTAGTCCCAGTTAGTGGTATATACAAATCTCTACTTATAACAAACAGATTTCCGGCGAAGTTTTTGGCCATCGAAAAATCACCTGTCATATACTTGAATGCTCAGCTAAAAACTTTGGAAATAAAAACACTACTCCTCAAGGTAGATCTCTTTACAAACCGACATCATTAACAAATCCGTTAAAAACTATGCAGCACTGGTAATCTGTTCCGACCCAGTTAGCAACTCTTTAGTTATGCTCATCCATGACCCCATCGAGGATCTTAAAGTTGGAACTCACAAGTCATTGAATTCCAATCACTGACTGAATAGTATAATACTTTACCCACAGCCTGATTATGTGAGCCATTGACAGCTCTCACACCACGACAACAATGAGAACTGACTGATGTTTCGATCACAACTTATTGCTCATAATCATGTCAATGTATTCACACGGCTTCGTAATTTGCCCTGCCTCTCTCTCTCTCTCTGTATATATATATATATATATATATATATATATATATATATATATAGTAATTTTTACTCGACTTCCTTGACGTTATTTTTTAAATCTTCTAATACTAGTTAGGCTACCGGTTAAATTATATTAACATTTAACTAAACCTGCTGAACAACTATCTACCAAAAATTATTCGAAAATATATGAAATGACTCAACACCCGCACCGAATATATGGAGAATTACAATCAGCAACAAGGGAGACAGAAAATATATTGACAGTAAGTTATGTAGTAGTATGAGTACATTGCTATAATTATGAGCAACAAATTCTGTTCAAAATGTCATCCAGTTATCCTATACTACATCACTGTGTGTATGAAGCCAGTGGGCAGTACCTTCGAAATTTGATTTACCCAAAATAAAATCACAATACACGTTTCATTTGTTATTTTTTATCATCTCCATCAACGAATGTGGGAAGTTCTACTTAACATTATGAAGAGATCTGTGTGACTAGAAATTTAAAGATACTGTGGTGATTGACAATTTCTATCTCTGTATTGTTTAAATACTTACTGTTGACTGTTGATATGTTTCTTATATGAATTGCATTCTAATTCCGCTAAATACAAATTACTGATTGCTGCCCTCTCTGGGTTTTGATTAGATTCCTATAATTCCGTCATCCCGGTATATTAATATTTCAAGTACAATAAATTACTACAAATTGGCGTCGCGATGGAGCTAAGTAACCTGGGAAAATTTCCTCTTAATGGTTCTCCGCGGGAGATTGCTGATTATTTGGAATGCTTTGATGCGTGGTGCATTTCCAAGAATGTTCGGGATGATAAAATACCTGCTCATTTCATCACCGCTATTGGTCTTGATGCATATAGCCTGGTGAAGAATCTGGCGTTTCCAGATAAACCCATTTCTATGCCATATGCTAAGCTCCGTGAACTTCTTATAGATCACTTCCATGTAACTACTTTTGAGACCAGAGAGAGGGCTCAGTTCAACAAACTGGTACGTTCTCCCAATCAGAAGATAAGAGACTTTATACTACAACTCCAAATTCAAGCCTCAAAGTGTAATTTTGGAGATCAGCTGCATACACAACTACGTGATCGTCTAATTGCTGGAATCAACATTCCTAAATTAGAGAAGGAGTTAATTCAGATTCCTTCTTGTACGTTTCAAACTGCTAAAGATGTATGTATTACATATGAAGATGTCAATAATGAATACTCTGCTCCCACTACGTCAGTGTCTGATGTTATGCTTTCTAAAGTCGAAAATACAAGTGGTAATGGAAAGCAATCCAAACTGCCGTCCACAGGTAATAGAATGCAGCGAGAGATCAAAAACATTAAACCGTGTTTATCCTGTGGAAAGTTACATCTACGAAGCACTTGCCGTTTTCGGAGTGCTAAGTGCTATAAATGTGGTAAAGTTGGACACATCAAGACGGTTTGCAGAAGTTCGAGTACTTATGTTGCTCAACATTCTTATAATTCTCCCAAGCTGTCTAGTAAAATGGAGTCTATGTGTCTTTCAACTTTTCAAAATACTCAAGCTAATCCAACGAAAACCTCCACTGCAAGTTCAGCAACGCAAGTATCAACTGTATTCAAAAATGAGGTAGCTAAGTTGCAATGTGAACTGTCGAAAGCACGAAAAGACCTGAATGAGATGAGAGAGCAACTGAATAAAATTGAGGAATTACTGCATATGCATAGACTACGTCTGGTGAATCCAGAGCATACAAGTTCTTGTGAAAGTCCTGCAAAACTATTCAAATCTCGAATTCTCAAAAAGCATCTGATGTCCACTACTTCTAATGTACATTATTACAAAGATAATAACTACAGACCTTCTGTTGGAATTATACTACAAAAAATGGGAAATCGAGTGGTGAAGATATTAGACATCAAAGATCACTCAGTTCATAACGGACACCTGGACAAAGTGACAATAAATGAAGTAGGTCGTTCCAATTATAATATTATTGATTCCGCTAATAATCCTGATTTTGTAGATAATTCAGAAATAAGTCCAGATAGTACTGATGAAAATAATATCACAGAATCAGTTAGATCGAAGCTACTTGCAAGCAAACCGAGACATCGTTATAAATACGCGAGGAGATATTCGAGGTGTGGCGGATGTGGTGATTGACAATTTCTATCTCTGTATTGTTTAAATACTTACTGTTGACTGTTGATATGTTTCTTATATGAATTGCATTCTAATTCCGCTAAATACAAATTACTGATTGCTGCCCTCTCTGGGTTTTGATTAGATTCCTATAATTCCGTCATCCCGGTATATTAATATTTCAAGTACAATAAATTACTACAGATACCTAAAGCATAAAAAAGAGAAGCACAGAATATACACATATCAAAATTCTAAATCCTTCTGAAATCTGACTAATTTTGCTAAATTTCTCAGGAAAACAGTCCTGTAATTAATAAACTTCGGAGTTGTTTTCAGTAATGAAATGAACATAATTCGCTAGATCTTATTTTAATTACTTCCTTCCTACAAACTGAATTTCAATCCAAATAAGAACAATTATTGTGGAAATTATAATCATAGGATATTGATAGATTCAGTGATAATCAATGATATCTTTCATGTTAACAAATAAAACAATACTTGCCTGTATAACAGTCACCCAAGTAATGGCTGAGAATTAGTGAAATTTATCCGCAAAACAGGCTTTTCGATTAGTGCGCTACGTTTGCTTAGTCACATAAAACTCTCATTTCTCTGGTATTTCTGGACAGGAAGTTATGGAATTTATTGTAATTAGTTCGCCGTCGAACACCAAATCTGTGGATATAATCTTGTCGCCTGATAATACCTATAACTAACTGGTTGGCATTTTGTGACTGTTTAACGCTAACTAATATCTACAATTGTATATATTGATGGATTTACATGTCCAAGTTGGCTCAATTCAGTGAGTCTATGGTCTTGGTATCATTTTTGTTAACTATATCTCACTGTGATACTACTGCTAAGGTTTTTTAAATTGTTGTTGTCACTTGTTGCCCTTCCTGTTGTGAATTATTTTCTATTTGCTGGTGTCACTCTGATTGCTTTATTCCTTGTTTTCCTGGTTTTAAGGGGAGCAACCCACAAGGTCACTTCTCTTTAAACTATATTTTAATGTAGCAACCCCCTTCTCAGGCGTGAGGCTAGCAACCCCACCCTGTAAACAAAGTTGTTACAGAAACTTCAGCACGATGAATCTCCTTGCGCCAAAAGTAAAAGCATGTGTGGGGATATGGGACGTCCACTCTGTATGAGACTGACAAAGCTGCCCAGATTACAAATGAGATGAAAAGATATGGTTCTCAAGTACTGGGAAGCAGATGGAATCGGAGTGGACTCACCAAACTGTCAAAGGGAGAGTCGATGATCTACTCTGGTCACCCAAAAGACAAACACGAGCACACTGATGGTGTGGCTATCATGGTATCACCAACAGCAACGAAGGCCCCCACACAATGGCAGGCTATCTCGCCCAGGATAACGACTGCCAGATTCAACTCAGAAGGAAGGAAAGTGACAATTATACAATTTTATGCACCTACAAACAACTCAAATCTCGAAAAGAAAGAAGAGTTCTACAAACAACTACAGGCAACAATAGATAGTCCTCCAGTCGGTGACATTAAAATCCTAATGGGAGATATGAACGCCAAACTGGGACCAGGCAGCACAGGAAAAGAACTCATCATGGGTAGAGAAGCTCTCGAGGAGATAAATGAAAACGGAGAACTCTTCGCTGACTTCTGTGCCTTCAACGAACCAAAAACCAAATTGACTTCATCTCAATCTCAAGGAAGTGGAGACGCAGCTTACTGGGCACAAAAGTAAGAAGAGGAGCAAACATTGGCTCAGACCACTATCCGTGCAAGAAACACTCTAAACTTAATTCAAAACTTCAAAGCAAAGATGGGCTGCAGACAGACTATAAGCCAAGTTCAATACTCAAAAGCTGAAGTTTCAGACTACAAAGGACATCTTCAGTGCAATCATGAGGAAAATGGCGGAGACAAAAATCAACACTAGCGGAAAGACCAGCGTTGAAAAACACTGGAACAACCCGAAAGCTGTGTGGAGTCAAACCTGCATGAGAATTCTAGGCAGAAAGAAGAGACAGAACAAACAGTGGCTCACTACTGACACTTGGAAACTAATAGAGGAGGGAAGGATGGTGAAACAAAAGATTATACAGTTTACCGACGAGCAACAAAAACAGGAGTTGAATGCAAGCTACAATACACTGAACAAAAGAGTGCCAGGGAAGACAAAAGAAAATATTATGAAGCCATGGCAAGTGAAGCAGAACAAGCTGCAGGCAAAGGAGATCTCACAACACTCTACCAAACAACTAGGTTCCTATCAGAGAAAAGTTCAACACAAATCAAGCGAGAGAAGGATGACAATGGAAAGTCAATCACCAAAGAGGTGTAGCAAAGGAAACACGGGCAGAACACTTCAAAAGACTTCTTAATCGACCGCCACCTGCAACGCGCCCAATAATACCAACAGCGGAAGCAGAACTTCCAGTGGAAATCAACCCTCCGACGAGAAAAGAAATCCTGAGGGCAAACAATCTGCTAAAAACTTAAATAGCAGCAGGACCAGACAGAATATCCGCAGAGGCATTGAAAATGGACCCAGAGACTTGATGATGCCACTACTGGAGAAGGTGAGGGAAGAGGGCAAGGTACCTGCGGACTGAAAGATAGACTACTTATTCAGACTGCCAAAGAACGGAGACTCCAGTCAACGCAAGAACTGGCGCGGAATTATGCTCCTGTCTATCCCAAGCATAGTACTAAGCTGCATCATCCTGGAGAGAATCAAACACGCCCTGGATGAAAACTTCGACTGGAACAGGCTGAATTCAGGATAATCACGTCATGCCTTGATAAAACCGCAACACTTCGGATCATCATTGAATAGGGCTTGGAATGACAGTCAGCTCTCTATCTCAACTTCATCGACTCTGAAAAAGCATTCGACAGAGTCGATCAAGAGGTGATTTTGAAACTACTTCGCTACTACAGGGTGCCATCGACAATTATACATCTCATCCAACAGTTTTACGACAATGCTGCATGCCAAGTAATCCACAACAGAAAACTCATGGAACCTTTCGAAGCGAAGACGGGAGTAAGACCAGGCTGCCTACTGTCGCCAGTGATTTTCCTGATTACGGTAAACTCGATAATGCGACAGATAGACAAACAAAGAACAGCAAGGAGACAGGCATAAAATGGACCCACACGAAATGCTTGGAGGATCTGGACTTCGCCGATGATATATGTCTGATTTCCCACAAAATGGAAGATATGCAAGTGAAAAGAAACAAATTGGCAGAAGAAGCATCAAAGGTAGGACCTCCTTCAGGTGAACATAGATAAAACAGAGGTGATGAAGATTTCTGGCCAACAGCGACAGAAAAAATGAGAGAAATCTGAAAGAAACAACCTCCTTTACCTACCAACCTGGGAAGCATTGTTTCAACTACAGGCGGACGAAACTGATGAGGATATCGAAGCGAGCATAGGGAAGGAAAGACAGCCTTGCATTACTCTCTGTGTGGAGATCAACAGTACCCAGCATGAAAAATAAGATCCGGATTTTCAACTCCAATTTGAAGTCAGTGCAACCATATGGACCAGACACTTGGCGCGTCACGAAGGGCACTTCGAACAAACTACAGACCTCCATCAACAGCTGTCTTCGCTCAATACTCAAGATCAGATGGCCAGAAAAGATTAGTAACAGGGATCCCTGGAGGCGAATCAATCCAGCAAGAACCGATTGTGCAACAAATATGCAGGAAGAAATGGAGGTGGATTGGCCATAATATCTGTGAAAATAAACCATCAAGTGACATCACACGCCAGGCCATTGCTGGAGTGGAACCTGAATGGGAAGTGGCGAGTCGGTCGTCAGTGTGAGGGTGGGTTGACATGGAGGAGATCATGTGAAGAGGAGATGATAGCATGTGGGCAGACCTGGAGCCAGGTGAAAACGTTGGCAGAGAACCGGATGCAATGGAGACAAGCGGCTGAAGCCCTATATTCCTTTAGTAATTAAAGGAAACAATAATAATCCGCAAAACAACTTCGCCCAATAGATCATATGTGCTATACGGCAACCCTATCCAAGGATTATCTATTTATAGAGTGACTGATCACGTCTGCTGTTGGGTTTTTTAGTTGTTTCTCCCTCTCTCTCTCCCTCAGTCTGCCTTCCGAATTCCCACTTCTGTGATCCTTGTAACAAAAATTATCATTCAAAATTTTAAGGGAGGGACATAAAAGATACGCAGACCACGCAAAAGTATACATATACGTATGTGGGAAGCTACATTTACAGTTAAACCTAAGATTTATATTGGCTGCTTTTCTAGTTTTTTAGCATTATAAAAAAACAAAAATGGAGTTTGTCGCAGTAGTACTTATCATTGTAACATAAGTGTTGGCTGTATGATGAAAATATATCTGTTGGTTAACAAAAAACGCGACTAAAAGACAAACCAAAAAGTAAACTAAGTACATTTTGTGTGTCGAGTTTCGCATTGATACTACGATTATTCTAAAAACGATACAGTCAGTTCATTGGTCACTTAGTCTATTAGTTAGTTAGCAGATTGTTATCAAACAGTATTCTGCAAAGGAATTTTTACAGCTAATGTAACATTTAGACGAGAATGCTGAAAACGTTTCTTCTAAATTTTCATGCCAAATAGGCAATGAGATAACATCAAAATCCTATGAAGAATAATATCTTGTAGAGTGTGATGTGAATACATCACATTTACTACTGGCAGATTAAGGAAATATGATAACATCAAATCAATAGTTGGACTAATCTCAGTATAAACAGCATAAACAAAATTTATTGTCTGATAAATTACAATATAGACAACATCCGCAAAATGTGTTTATAGATACGTTGGTTACACAAAGTAAGCCTTTAAAATAAACATTATGAGGCGATGAATTTTTAATTTATCAATAGCCTTAGGCGTAATGTGTGTGTAACAGAACTACCAAATGAGCTATGTAAAGGCTAGAGAAAAAGTATGAAAAGGCTTAATTTTTTCACCTGGTTAGACAGTATATTTATGAAGAATTTTATATATTTGACTACTAGCTACATTAAAATGTGCATCTGTATACAGGAGAATTCTCGTACCATCAAACATAGTCATCGCAAAGGAATTAATGAACGTTAATCTAAACAGCACGGGAGGTAGAAAACTCTCTTATTGAGGACTACCAGGTAGGTTTCCACGGAAGGCCCTGTCTGTGACCGTCTACCATCTGATATCAACTAAGATAAGTCATTCATAATTATTAATATTCGATCCTTAATTTCTAAGTGGAACCTATGGTCCCAGGAACACGTTTCCATTCCACTCGGTTCTCTTCTGTAACTCTCAGTTAGCTCCACAACTGCCTCAAAGCTTTCATTTCCTCTTTATGTGATCTCCATGTCACTCTCAGACGTCCAACGCATCGGTTCTCCTCCCTGTTGAATGTATCTTCAGCGTTTGTTCAATCCATCTCTATTTCCTTCCGCATATTTATCGGATGAAAGGTTCTTCACTAGTTCGTCGACTTCCAAAGTTTTTTGCTACTTACCCTTTCTAACTGGATGGCCATCTGTGTATCAGTCTTGGGAATTGTGTGGAGGCGGCAAACTGTTGAGAATGATTTTGATGACATATTTTTAGAGCTTCAAAACCATATAAAAGTACTGATTTGACATTAGCGGTAAAAATTCGTATTTCGTTCGTTGTAATACTAGGAAACCGGGACTGTTAAACTTCCAGAAGTGCTTCACTGTCGACTTGGTTCCCGTTATTATCACTTATTCTTATATGTGCCTATCGAATTGTCCTATTTCCCATTTAATTTATGTGTCTTCTTTATTTAAGTCAGACAAGCAGTCTGTTGAATATAAAATTAATAAAAACATAATTGTTTGGTAAAACAATATTTCGCATAAAATATATTTGTACTCCTTTCCTTACACTATGTGACTACATTATAATCAAGTGAAGACCTCTCTGGAAGATGGAGATCTTCAAAAGGCTTATCTGTATTACGTTACACAGTTATTCCCAGTCCAAGTCAGATATTCGAGAAATAGTCTCTTAAATCAATTCTGTAGAGAATGAAGACACCAGTGTAATATAAGTAAAGCCAGATGTTCAATAAAGAGGATAATGATTCTCAACATGAAGTAAGCATACAAATGAACAGATTCCTAATTTTTGTATTCAGACTAAACAGTCTCATTAGCTTATTTCAAATGGTTTTTTTTTCTTAATTGCTTCTTTTTAAAAGCTTAATATTTTTTTCTATAGTTTGCACTTCTTTTGGATTACCCACCAATCCCAGTCATTTCAAACTTGAGATATTGTTTTTGAATGAAAAATGAAACACTACCACCTGTTTTTCTGCAGTTAAATTAGAAAAGTTAGAAAACAGTAACCCTTCACTGCATTTGATTTACACACAAGCAATCAAAAGTCAAAATGTACAAAAATCACCTTAATATAGATTCTCATGGCTGAAGAGAAAATACAACGAAACAATATATTACCTTTAAGTACCCGTATTGATCGATGAGAATATTCTCCGGTTTCAAATCTCTGTAGACTAATTCCAAATGATGCAAATATTCAAAGGCCAAAACAACTTGACTAGCATAGAATCTTGAATGACTTTCACTATAAAGAAAGTAAACAAGACACTTGATAAATAAGAGACAATTCCAGAATGAAAATAGCTGACAAGTACAAAAGTGATCTGCGAAAAAAATCAATATTAGTCAAAGGAGCCTTCCTTTTGATCACCAGTGAAGTATATGAACGACTTGTTTTGAACACCCACGGAACTTTCAGAGGATAACAGTGTAAGGTTCACAGTGACCTATTTTAGCTACCAATAGTTTTTTTTTAAATCAAGGTGTTTCTGGTGAAGAACAACTTTCTGTTGTCCTGCATATCAAGAGAATTTCCTCACTTATGAAACATACCAAAGAATGCATTAGAGATACAGTTCACCAGATGAACGAAAAATTCAAGTTGATGTAACCCAAAGCACAGTGCACTATACACTATGCTACAATTTGGTTTTTACCAAAAGTCGAAAGAAGATTATTCAGTTTGAAGGCGGTTAAAGAGCTAAGCGTTAACGTCACAGTATTACGAAGAGTAAGAGATAATTATTGTTAATAATTCTAGAGTATGGGGAAAGAATTATTTACTCGAGAATGATTTAAGCAAACTCATCAGTGTAAAAAAAACTTTCATCATATATGCTTACAAATAATCACAATAGTAATGAAAAGTTAACTTTACGAAACACTCAACAACAACAAAAAAATACTAAGTCATACTCAAATGAAACAACTGGTTAGGAAAATAAATAATAAGTGGCAAAAATAAGTAATTAGTTTTTATAGCAGTCATGTTTTACAGGATAAGGAAATTCTTACTGTTTAAAGTAGGGAATCTGCGAACTACATAATTAGATCTAACTTTAACTCATTATACTCCCGATAAGCTGACACAGTACATTTCATTTCTCTATAAAGTATACAACATGTTGAATACTAATTATATAAGGATCTATACTCATAAAATTAGGTCAGTTAAAAGTACAACATTGACACATATTTCATGTCATGGAAAAAAAATAAGCTGGTTAGTAGAGGTTACTCACTTTTTTGTCACTAGCTGATAATGATGATATAAAACCAGAACATACCACACATTACTTGTACACATTAAAATGAATCATACAAGCGAGAACCGATATAATCAAGTCACACAGTTCACTAATAAACACACCTGACATGATAAAATGTTTAAAAAAAAAGTTTCAAAATAATCTGCTATTGAGACTATCCTTTCTAAGAAAATCTCTAAGTAAACCTATTCACATTCAGTACAAATATGATACGTCAAACGCACTATCATCAAATACATGAAACAAAATTATCGCATGCTGGTTCAACTTTCAACTATACAGATTCGCGAATTGAGTAAATGGTAGTGTAAGGAAGGATAAAATATGAAAAAACGGTCACAAGAAATGTTTAGCTACCATGAAACAAAAATATACATAGCTATACTACAATGAAAGTAGGATTAAAATATAAATACATCTGTGGTATCCGAAGTCCTATTTTCTTCGCCTTCTGATGTACAGAAAGTAACCTGTATTCTACGAAATTGTTCGGACTGTTGGATTGATGGCGACTAATTTCTTCATGCTCACTCAACCGAACAACAGTTAATGCTTAAGGGTCAACAAAATATAAATGTCCCAGTTAATTCCAGAAACAGAAAGTTACCAGTAAGTGACTTCTCTTGCCTAGGAGTCTAAACGTAACTTTCACACGGAGATTCAACCGAAGACATAAAACTCCAGAGAAGAATCAACAGTTACATTCACAAAATCTTTATCTTCAGTGTCAACTTTTCTCACCTATAAAGTAGGACAACATTGATGCGCAATACTCGCCATAAGTAATGCATCTGTGGAGTATGCGGTGAAAATCAATATGTCCCATTTTATTTAACTGTATCGAGATTTTGTCGGCCACTAACTCATAATGACTGAATGGATTATATGAGGAAAAGGGGCAACACTTTCAATCATTTCGATTTACTTGTCAGACGACTGGTGCAGAAAAGTTGCCAAGTAACATTTTACACCTGTAAGATGGGAAATACACAGCACATATTCTGAAGTCGTCACTTTGTATGTTGTTAGCACCTTCTGTAAAAAGATGAGTATCGTTTTTGCACTATTTGTGTAGTAAGTAACTGATAAGGGAAAAGTAGAATATTTCAGCAGATAATAGGGGGACGGTTTGAGCCCATCAGAAGTTCGATAAAAAATAAAATTAGCATCTCTTTCAGAAGATACCCAACCAGAAGTTGTGAAAGAATTATCTGTTCGAGTAAAGGACTTTCCGTAAGCCAATATATTTGCTGAGTTACCGGTCTAGCGAACGTGTATCATAAGAACACTCGGTCAGAGGAACTGAATTTCGCCCTCAGGCTAACAAATACCGATGTGGTGAGAGCAGGCTGCTAGCCGATTGGTTGGCACTAATCTACGTTAAGGTCTAGGTCACTAATGTGGGCCGTGAGAAGATATGAACAAGGCTGAGTCAACAACCAATCACAGCAAAGTTAACGTGGCAAAATATGATTCGCAGATAGAGAACTCTATTTGTCAAGGAATCCCGAAACAACCAATCAGAAGCCTGCGTTTGTCTACCTAAACAACCAATCAGATGACTGCGCTTGTCTATAATAATGTAGTTGAAATATGTATAAATACGTGTTGATTTTCATAATAAAACGATCTGTTGCCTGGCCCTTGTCTTCTGTTGTTACACCGATAGAGTCAGGACACCAGTAAGTGTGACTGTGCTACAGGATCTAGTGAAGAATTCATAATAAGGTCTGGGAACTATGCAGATTTTCCAGATCTATCACTACAAAACATCAGTTCGTTGTTAAATGACTTTGTTTATCACAAAGAGACGGGTTGTGATACTAGTTTTCACTAGAAATCAATTGACATCTAAACTTTTTGGGTCTCATGAGAAGATATGGTGAGAGCATTGTGAGTTAGGACAACCAGTGACCACAATCCGCCAAGAATTAGGTGGTAATTGTAGCTTAGATAAAATCTTTGTAGATTTCACTAAGCAGCCTTATCCGCCGTTTCTAAATACCTATTCAGACAATCTATTGAGTTGCTTCTTCCTATCTTGTTTAGGTTTACTTATAGTGAATAATACTTTGATAAGGCTATTAGCATTAAATAGCGAAACGTCAGTAAAAACAATATCGTTTTGTTTTTCATTCATTGGGAAATACAAAAACATTTATTATAATGAATTACTTATACTTCTTTTGGTTATAAAAGTACCCGTGATTCTGAATTAGTATTCCACCCAAAATATAGCTTCACAATGAACAACGGACAAGTGAATCAGTCTTCTTCAGTTGTTCCTCATAGCATCCATTTCATCAGTTTACTTGTCATCGGTCCCTGTGAATAAACATCTGACATGTCTTTTGCATTTATGTGATCATAAATCCTTCCTTTTTTACCACTATCTTGACACTGCTTATAAAGCTCTTCCACAGCTTGTGTGTGGTTACTGACTTTTTACTATGTAGGATGCTTCCCTGCCTGAAATTAACCTATACATATATATATATATTACAGCGCAGCAACTATTATTGTCCCACCCGGTTACTATTCAAACCAAATGCCTTTCCGACAAGGTATTCGAACTGATATCTGCCCTGAAATCATCCCTAAAGAAGAAACGACAGTAACGTTTGAGATCTTATACTGAGGTAGACAGATTTTGTAACATAATCTGGACTTGAATCCGTAAGTTCTTAAGTAATTACGGTGTGCTTGCTGAATAACTGAAAACTATGGACTTTATGAACCTCTTAACAAGAAATAACTTATTGAAAATAAATTAAAATAAATACTCCTTTTTCTCTCCAAATCGAGTCACTGGAACAAGTATATAGGGTTTAATCAAAGTATGAATTGTATCATACCATAAACGTAACTAAATAATTAAAGTAGAAGAACATACCTTATTACATAAGTTTGATCTATAATACACGTATTATTACCGTTGCACAACAGCTTTCAGTGATAAAAGTGTTCACATAGATGAAGCAGTGAAATGTATTTCGGCTTACTTAAGAATCGGTTACTGAGTATACGCAGTAGATGTAAGCGTTATTCTTGGGAATTACATCAAATAAACGTCATTTAAAATAAAAAAACATCAGTAAATTGTGGACAGACGTTTGAGCGTTTTCAAGTCATTGTCATAACATTTGATTATCCACAGAATCTCAAATATCTAAGTGAAAACTTCTACAAGTTGAACTGCCAGCTATGACTCATAAAATTATCACAAAAGATTCTATAAATCGATTTCAGTTACTTCTATATAAATTTACTTTTATGCATTTTATTTGGAAAAGGGATGCCATAAAATCAGAAATGTAATGAAGCTCACAAATTAAGGCGTACAATATTAGTCATTTTTTGAACATTTTAAGCAGAAGAAGACACGTATTACAATATTCTACGCCACAACAAAACCAAAAAAGAACCACTGAGCAATCATACAAACAAAGTATGCAGGTAGGTTAACAACAATCCAACAGCAGATAAATTAAGCCGTGTAGAAATATTACTCAGAGAAACCAAGATGCATTTCGCTGCTGCAGTCCTTAGACGAATAAAAGAAAAAATGGATATCCTCGAAAATTTATCAAAAGATGTCTACACTCAAGTGAAACTTCCCGAAAAAACCCAAACTCAGAAGCTAGGCCAAAATTCATAATATCGTATGTGAAAAATGTTCGTTAAAGAATACTATGAAACTATTCGGAGTAGATAACCCACACAAATCAATACAATCACTTCAGTTAACCAAAAGACCCAACAGTAGAAGAGGACATGATCCACACTATCTACAAAATAAACTGCATCAGTTATGAAAAGCAGTATGTAGGTCAAAGTGTACGTCTCGTTCGACTTCGAATCTGGGAACATAAACTAGCTACCTAAAACACGAGATATATTCCTTCATATTAACACACGTGGACAGTTATGGACACCAGTTTGACTAGACAAATGTGGAAATTCTAAACATCGGAAA